CCCCCTCCTCCTCTCTGGGGCAGCCCCTCAAATATTGGAAGATGCTCTCCTGTCTCCCCTGGTCCTTCTCTTCCCTAGACTAGCCAGGCCTCTTAGCAGAAGGAAGGCCCAAAGTGCTTTGCCTCTGTTTTCTTTGGCTCGCTGCCTTCTCGCAGAGGGCTCAGCTCTCTGGGCTGAAGGAAAGGAGCCGAGAAGACAGAGGTGAGAAGGGAAAGGAGAGGAGAACGAAATTTCTCCTCCCGGCAAAGATGCAGACAGGAAAGGAAACCTCAGAGCAATAATTCATCCACGTCAGGAAGCCAGAACGGGGCAATGGCTCCCCTTGTGTCCTGGCTGCAGGAGATGAGCTGACCTCTTGACTGGAGCTGGTGGGTTTCTTCTCCGTGCAGGCTAGGATGGATCCGGTGAAATCCAAGTGGATTTGCCTTCTCTTCCCTTTGCAAGGAAATAATTCATTTTTTTTTTCCAGGGCTGGCAAGCAAAGAAGAAGAAGAAAAAGGGGGGGTGGGGACGAAGTAGGAGGCGAGAAAGAAAAAAAAAGAAAAAAAAAGTTAGCCCCTCGAAGTCAGATGGGTGTTTCTTTGCAGGAAACGAAGCTTGCGCAGGACTCTCTGATGAGGAAAAGGAAGGATTTGAAATAGAATCTGAACACGAGAACGGTACAGGTGTCCGGCGAGGCTCCATTCAAAACCCAAGTAAGAAAACCTTAGACCCTCCACTGTTAATATAGAGAAAAGGACTTTTGCGGGATTTGAAGGGGTAGCATTGGAAGAAATACAAGATCTGAGATAATAGGAGCGAAAATCACACATAGAAAGTTACCCATCTTCCCACCCAGGGCTAGCATTCAGCCGGTTTGCACCAGATCAGGTGAACCGGTAGCAAGGATTTGGCGTGGGTCGTGGAACCGGTAGTAAGTTCTGGCTGGCCACGCCCTCAACCTGGTCACCTGGTCGCCGCTGGCTCGCTCACCCCACCCGCCTGACATTGGCCCCTTAAGGTATTTCTTTCTTTTTTTTCTCCTGCCAACGATCAGCTGTTCATATGATCAGCTAGGCTGGGATTCCCCTTGCTGAGGCCCCCGAAGGCCCAAAAATGGAGGGTGGACGGATGCTGAGGGCCTCCCCCATGTTCTGTTTTTCCTTCAGAGGTGCCTTCTGGGAGTAAAAACGCCCCAAAAATGGGTGGGTGGGAGGAGGTAACTGCAAAAAAGCAAAAAAAAAAAAAAGCCACGCCCACCGGTTCACCTGGTCACGCCCACCTAACCACACCCAGCAAGCCATGCCCACAGAACCAGTAGTAAAAATTTGTTTTTTTAAATTCCACCCCTATACCCACCCCCAATAATTCAACCTGGCCACCCAATCTGAGGTGCATATAATGTCATGTGAGTGCATCTTCTTCAGGTGGCGTTTCAGACACGGACAGAGACAGGGACAGACTTCAGAGGGTAATTAGGACCGCAGAAAAAAAACAATGGCTACCAACCTGCCTTCCATGGAGGACCTGCATCCTTCACCCTGAGTCAAAAAGAAGGCTGTGAAAGTATTTACAGACCCCCTCACATCCTGGATATATAAACTGTTTCAACTCCTTCCCTCAAAACGACACTATAGAGCCCAGCACACCAGAACAACTGGACACAAGGAGAGTTTTTTCCCCAAATGACATCACTCTGCTAAACAAATAATTCCCTCAACACCGTTCAACTATTTACTAAGTGTGTACTACTACTAGTATTAATACAACTTCCAGAATTGATCACCTTGGATGGACTTCTAGTCTCAGAATTCACTTCCCAGAATTGGTCACCTTGGATGGACCAACTTCCAGAATTGATCACCTTGGATGGACTTCTAGTCTCAGAATTCACCTCCCAGAATTGGTCACCTTGGATGGACCAGCTTCCAGAATTGGTCA